CCGACTCAAAAAAAAAAAAAAAAAAAAAATTTAATGGAAGGTTCTAGAAGGTCACCGTGATTAACAGTACCCGTGTTGGCTAAGCCTCACGGCGCATCTGCAGGTGGAATTCCAGCCAGTCACCAGCATGGGCTATCGCTCAGGGAAGCTAGGGAGAGTGGCCTGCTTTAGACATAGAAAGATGTCCTGGCATTGGCTGGGCACGGTGGCTCACACCTGTAGTCCTAGCACCTTTGGGAGGACAAAGCGGGTGGATCGCTTAAGTCCAGGAGTTCGAGACCAACCTGGGAGACTTGGCAAAACCCCATCTCAAAAAAAGAAAAAGCGATGTCCTGACATGAAACAGCAGGCTACAAAACCACTGCATGGTGCCATCCAATTCTGTGTTTTTCTTTCTACATATGGATTTAAAAAAAAAAAATCCTAAATGGGGCTGGGCGCGGTGGCTCACGCCTGTAATTCTGGCACTTTGGGGAGCCCAGGCGGGCGGATCACAAGGTCAGGAGTTCAAGACCAGCCTGACTAACATGGTGAAACCCTGTCTCTACTAAAAATACAAAAAAAATTAGATGGGTGTGGTGGTGTGCACCTGTAATCCCAGCTACTCAGGAGCCTGAGGCAGGAGAAGCACTTGATCCTGGGGGGCAGAGGTTGTGGTGAGCCGAGATTGCACCACTGCACTCAGCCTGGGCAACAGAGCGAGATTCCATCTAAAAAAAAAAAAAATCCTAAGGGGAAATACGCCAAAATGTTGACAATGACTGTCTCTGGGTCAAAGGACAGAGGTGGGATTGTGGGTGACATTTAATGTTTATGATTGCCTGTACTTTTCAGAATTTCTGCCATGACTATGTATTTTGCATGACGCATTTTAAAAATAATAAACACTATTTTTAGAATAACAGAATATCAGCCTCCTCCCCTGCAAAAATAAGCCCTCAGGAGGGGACAAAGTTGATGATTGAGCCTCTCAGAGCTGGGCACTCGGTGTGGGCTCTTTACTGACACAATTCTCCTGGAGCCTTGACTATGCCGTGTTTCACAGGCGAGGGAAACTGGGGCTCAGGCAAGGGGTGGGGACTCTGTTGCTCAAAGTCACACAGCTAGGGAGAGGTGGACCTGCGGTTCCGCACCGCGTCTGGCTCATTCCCACAGCTCTTTGCAACTCGGTGTTGAGGACCCCCTGCCACAAGCACACACATGAGATTTGGAAAAACAGGTTCAGTAAGGGTTTGGGTCTTACCCAGGCCTAGAGAAGGGTCAATGGCAGAGTAGGGACTATGATCAAAGCCTTTAGATAACTGTCCCTTTCCAGTCAGCAGGCAGACTCCCAGCAGCCCTGTGTTGTCACTAGTTTGGTCACTGGGGTGGGGGTGCCCAGCCCTGGGCCCTGAGTTTCCATTCAGGTGTCTCAGCCCTCAAGACTGAAGGCTGCCTCCCTGGAGGAGAAGAGAGCCCAGGGTCCCGGAGAGTTCCTGGAACAGTCCCCTGTGTGTCCATGAGGTCACAAAGCCCTTCCACGGGAGGCTCCTCCCCCAGGCCCATGCTGTCCACCCTGGCAGGGCCGTGGCCGAGGCCCAAGTCTCCCAGGCATCTCCTCGCTCTATAACGCTGAGCTCCAGGCACCTGTGTAGCCCCAGGGGCCAAGTCTGGTGGGACTGGGAGGCCTGCATGCCTGGATCCGGGGTCCCTAAACCAGTACCTATCCACCACAGCCACCATGATCCGGCTTCGAAACAGGAGGCGCCCTGAGCTGCTCCAGGGCACTCCAAAGTGGGTCCCCATTCTGGGGGAGCTGCAAAAGACCCTCCAGAAGGGCGAGTACCTGCCCCTGCGTCCGATGCCCATGTTCGAGAGTAACTTTGTTCAGGTCCCCAGCTCCCAGTGCCCTGGGGCTGAGAGGGGAAGAGAGGCTGCCTGGGCGGGGGAATTTTGCAAGGCACTGGGGTTTGGCAGTCCCTATGTGGGGGGCAGTCAGGAGGGAGGCTCAGGCTGGGGGTGCTGGAGGAAGGAGTGGTCCCAGCCCCTCTCCCTGGCTGCCCAGGTAACAAGTCGAGGCGGCCCGGTGTTCGTGAGTCACAGAACCAACCGGCTGACCATGGGCGCAGCCGCCTCCCTGCCAGGCCTGCTGGTGCCTGACATCCTGCTGATCGGCCAGCCTGCTGAGGGCAGGGACTACTCGGGCCTCGTGCTGACCAGGTGCCGCCTCCCCCAGCCCCTTGGCCACCCCATCCACCCCTCCTGCTCTAGACACTCCCCTCCTGCTCTCCCAGGATGATCCCCCTGGACCTCACCCAGCTCTGCGTCCATGACCTCTCCTCCTGGTGCCTGAAGCTACGCCTGGTCTCAGGCCACAGCTACTACCTGGCGCTGGATGCCCCCGACAACGAGGCTGGCTTCCTGTTCGACTGCTGGATCCGCCTCATCCACCTGCTTCGGGAGCCGGCTTTCACCTGGGCCCCCAGGACTGTGCGTGCGGACTGCCTGGATATGCCCCTGGCCGAAGCGCCCGCCTCCACCTGGCACTTGCAGGTGGGGCCCCAGCTTCACCAACCAGGCATGGCAGCCCAGGGACCCACTGGCCAGATCCGGAGGGGGCTGGGAACAAGAGTCCAAAGTCTAGGCCAAGGACCTGGACCCCTGATTTGAGGGAGGACGGCTGGGGGCCTGGACCCCTGATTTGAGGGAGGATGAGCTGGGGGCCTGGACTCCTGGGTGCAAGGCGGGGAGCTGGGGAGTCTGGACTACTGGTTCTGAGGGAGGAGGGGTTGGGGTCTGGCACCCTGGGTCTGAGGGAGGACGGGCTGGGGAGTCTGGACTCCTGCATCTGAGGGAGGAGGGGCTGGGGGTCTGAGGGAGGAGGGGCTGGGGCCTGGACTCCTGGGTCTGAGGGAGGAGGGGCTGAGGCCTGGACTCCTCGGTCTGAGGGAGTAGGGGCTGCAACACTGGGTCCTGGGAGCAGAGGGGCCTAGGCCTCTGACTGGGTAGGTTATGGAGATGTGGAAACCTGGCCCCTCCTGACTCCCGTCTCTGCAGGACCAGCCAGTCAGCAGACAAGCAGGTGAGCAGGCCCTGCTGTTCTGCTGTTCTTCAGGACCTCGGGGTGTGGGGTTCTACCCAGGTGGGGACAGAGCTGCACCATTTGGTTCTTCCCGCCCCCACCCCCCCGCAGGGCCCTCCACGAGCTCCTGGGGCAGGTTCTCATGACCTCCCCTGGGGTCTCTGACCCAGAATGTCTCCTCTCTTTCCAGCCAGGGTTGCTGAGCACACCTTTCCTTACAAGACGGTGGCCACTCAGAGGCAGAGGAAGGCCAAGGTGAGCTGGCGGGACGGGCGGAGGGTGCGGGCTGAGGGCTGCCCTGTGTAACGTCCCTCCTCACCCACGCCAGCCGCTCAAGCGCAGATTCAAGTCTCAGGCCGTGGGTGACTCCGTGCCCCTTATCTGGTCGCAGCTGGAGCATGCCAGGAAGAAACCTGCAGAAAAGAAGTAGGCGTGGGTCTTGTTTCAGTGGGTGGGAGGAGGAGGGAGACCCCGTCCAGACGGCACCTACATCCGCGGTGTTGCTCCTGCAGGTCCCACCCAGAACCCCGTCCTGAGAGACCTCACACCCAAACCCACTTTTCTGGTAAGATCAGCCCACCCTACCCCTGCCACACTGTGTGGTCTTGTCCCCGACACAAAGGGCTCAGATTGCTCCCCCACCCAGAGACGACCAGCATCACCATCCGGACCATCTTCAGCATCTTTTCCAGCACCACCAACCAGACACAGTCCGCTCCAAAGGCCAGCCTTATTTATACCCGGGGCGGGACCCAGGCCCCAGATGTGCGGGAGGAGAGACTGGGGGTCTGGACTCCTGGGTCTGAGGGAGGAGGGGCTGGGGCCTGGACTCCTGGGTCTGAGGGAGGAGGGGTTGGGGCCTGGACTCCTGGGTCTGAGGGAGGAGGGGCTGGGGCCTGGACTCCTGGGTCTGAGGGAGGAGGGACTGGGGCCTGGACTCCATAGTCTGAGGGAGGAGGGATGGTTCTGTCCTGCGTCTGGGGTCTCCCCAGGCCCTGACCATGTGCTCTCTCCACTTACCTACAGGCCTGTACATCTGAGTGTAATGAGGCCACAGGCCAGGGACACATGGTGAAGGCCCCTTCCCACTGCATCTCAGCCGACAGCCCTGATTGCTTCTTTCTGGGCTCCTGCAATTCCTGGGATCCCTGCCTGTGGCATCAGGACATGGGAGACCTCATGGGCTCTGAGAGCAGCAC